TTTTTGACACCTGAGAGACACCGTAACAACTCCTTTGTGTTTGAAAGCGGGGGGTGGGGGTGGGGGGAGGACCAGGGAGGATGATTCAACCACTCAACGACTAGATGTCGCTGAAAACAACAAATCCTACACACTGTGCCTTTAAAGACATATTTAAAGCTCTCATGGGCCACATGAAATACAGTGGAGAGCCACATTTGGCCTACRGGTCTTAAGTTTGACACACATGCACTAGATTAATGTGAATGACATATTCAGAAAATAATCAACAGGGTGTACACTGATTACCTCTTAGAGCAAAGACAAATCAAGATGGCTGTTAGCCATCTGAGTTCCAAACACAAAAATGGCTGTAACTCATCACTAATACTGATACTGAATTAAATTTAGTAGCTGAGGTCATCCACAGCATGTAGATCACACATAACAATATTTTTATTCATTTATTTTTTTTCATTCGATCTTTATTTAATGAGGCAAATAACCCTAACTCGTTTCAAGGGAGACCTGGGCCTAAAGGCAGTCTAAATATTAATGTATTTTGGTTTTCCACCTAATATTTCATCTTAGTGGAATTTGAGGCTTTGTCAAATCAGGCGATTAAGGAAAAAGACCAAGAGGAAGGTCAAAGAGGGGGTATATGAGGCAGTTAGAGAGGAGATGGAGGTGAGGATGGAGGACGCAGAGGATGGAGGAGGATAACTCACTGTTGTGACCCCTAAAAAAGGAACAGCTGAAAGAAGAAAAAAAAGTTTACTGAAGAACATAAGACATTTAAAATGCAATTGCTACAAAATATGTTTTTTAATTTCCTATGTTGAAAAAAAGAGTCATCTCAGTCTCTTGCATTCTAATTCATGCATTAAAAAACAAACCAGAGGACCAAAACTTGTTTCTTGTTTCCTGCAGGTATGAACGACTTCAGCTACCTGCACACCAACTGYTTCGAGGTGACGGTGGAGCTGTCCTGTGATAAGTTTCCTCATGTCAGTGAGCTTTCCGCTGAGTGGGAGAACAACAGGGAGTCTCTCCTGGTTTACATGGAGCAGGTGGGTTTGCTCAAGAGTCATCAACCTGGTGGTCCTGAGCGGAGGTGCAACTGGGCTGTGTTTTCTGCCCCACCCCACAGGTTCACAGAGGGATCAAAGGTGTCATCAGGGACAAACTCACAAAGAAAGGAATTGCAAATGCCATCGTCAAGGTGGAGGACCATGACCATGACATCCGATCAGGTCAGGAACTCAGTTTTAACCCTTAATTAGCCCTTGAAATGACCAGGATGGTAATTAGAATAAAGACATTTTAGAAATTTCAGCCAATTATTATTTAGTTGAGAAAAATGCAGGAAATTAGTTTGTAAATGTCAGATTGTCCTTTAAACATTAGAAAACAAAACCTTAGCTTTAAAAGCTAAATAACATTTAGGAATAAAAATTGTTTCTTTTTACCTATTTGTTATTAAAATGGCTCATGAACCAGTGAACAGATTTTAATGAAACTCCCAGGAAGTATTTATTAGAGGTACAATTCAAGATGGCTGCCTTGGCTAATCAAACTCAGCAAACAAAGTGACCACATCTTGCACAATTTTACAAAAGCCCAGCTAAAATTTGGCACGACAGTATCTGAGAGTTATTCACACCACATACTTTTAGCAACAACAGATTGATCAAGATCTCTGTTGAAAACTTTGCCATTGACAACTGTGGTCGATTCTGTTTGTCTGTTAGCAAAATATTTTAAAAAACCACTCGAAACATTTTGAAGACACTTTCGGGAAGTTGTCACTAAATGTAGATCTATCGAATTTTGGAGCCAGCTTGATTCAAGAAGGCCATTGCAGCCRTGTTGAACTTATGAGACACAGCAATTGCTATAATTATTTACATTTTACAGATTCTAAGTTAAAGTTTGCAGAGGGATTAGTACTATATTGTGGGCCTACTGCATCTTTGTTTAAAACTGCCAATAAGCAAACACTACTATATGTATATACTTTTACTTTTCTATAGCTGCTGATGGGGACTACTGGCGTTTGCTGAACCCTGGTGAATACAAGGTCGTCGTTTGGGCCGAAGGTTACATCCCATCCATGCGCCGCTGCCACGTGGGCRTGGAGCCACGTCCCACAATCTGCGACTTCACCCTCACCAAGACGCCGCTGCAGAGACTGAAGGAGATTCGAGCCAAAGGGGGCAAGATCCCTCGGGACCTCCAGCTGCGGCTCCGTGCTCTCAGACTCCGTAAGCTACGCGCCAGCACCAAAGCCATCAACCAGCGCAGGGAGCGCCAGCGACTACAGAAGAGGAGAGCTCGCTCCTCCTGAGCCTGGACAGAATTTAAATGGACAGCACCAGGAGCCAGAAGTCTGAAGCACTAAAAGCGGCACATTTTAAAAACCATCAGCTGAGCCAAAACAACAGAAGAAAATACAGGTTTCCTGTTTTCAGACACCAACACGACTTGTTTATGTACTGAACCTTTAAAGGCACTACTTCCATTGTTAATTCTGTCTAAATAGTTCTTATTTTGTCTGTTGACTGAGTGGAGAGTTTCTCTGTCAGCTGGTCTGATAGTTCACACTTTTCTTTTCATTTTTTTACTGACTAAAGTCCAAGAGGACCTCAACTTTTCAAAWAAATGTGATGTTTAATGTTATAAAGCAGGGGTGTCAAACTCATTTTCACTGAGGGCCACATGAGTGTTATGGTGGCCCTCAAAGGGCCAGTTGTAATGAAC